GTCTCGGACCTGGGCAAACTTTCTGCTGCATAGGGAACATCCTATCAGGAAACGTATGCCCAATTATCCTATTTCTTTTGGATGCTAGAATATTGAGAAACTGTAGGTGCTTTTGGTTTCATGAGGCTTGCAGGTAACAAAATGGACCAATTTCCCTCCACACCCTGGGATCCTCCTTCACAGAGAGACTCCCAGTCCCTATGCCCGGGCCTGCAGGATCCCCCTTCTCTTCTGGCCTCATGGCCTCTGGATCCTCAGCTGCCAGACTCAGTGGTACTTCCTCAACATTTGCCCCTAGGTTATCTTCTATAAAACTGGAAAAACTTGGTCCCCAAGACCTTCAAAAGGAATATGATCAGACTAAGAGAAGAGAGTCCTTGCGAATGGTAGGGAATTTGAGTCACCCTCCGTGACCTTTGAATTCATCCTCCCCAGTTGGTGAAAGTAAGGAGGGAGGAACGGCAACAACTACAGCTGGGGGCCCCACTGGCAATGGCTCTGGGCCCCTCGGCACCCTGTAGCCCACCAAGAAAGCATGGAAGTATCACCCGTGTTCATCAATCTTGCTCACCTCCTGCCACCCCAGAAGCTACAAGCAACATGAGCTGCCCTGGGGACAGAGGGAAGGGGAAGGGGATGGATCAAGGCACTAAGAGGTAAGAAGCCAGCCAGCCTCTGCACTTGGTAAGCCCACTCGTTTAAAGTTGTGGTTTCAACATGTTCATTATGAGACATCGATTTTCTGTGTAAAGTAAATTGCAAATTCATTCAACAAGATTGAAATCACCTGATTGATAATGGGCTTGTTTCAGGTCTCAAACTGGTAAACTTTTGCATCAGCTTTCTCAAGCCACTTTTCCTAACTTGGATGTTATTAGAGTATGAAATGAGAGCACCTAAAAAAACAGTGGAAAAGTTATTTCCCTCCTAACCCTGTCTTATAACATTTTCTAATGGACATTTAGAAAACTAAGTATTTGGTATTGTTTTTACTGCTAAAATGTAAAATTGGTCATTGACTACTCAGTATGTGTGTGGAAAGGAGGGGATGAGGTGAAAGCCTTATCCAGATTGGTTCTGCCCATTCAGAGCAGTCCTCAGGACTAGTGAAAAAGCACAGCCCAGAGCAGCTCTAAGGGGAGATCGGGGTGATAGGCAGCCCCTGCTCTGGGGTCCCTGTTGATCCCCTTTATTTTGTAAACTTGCCAAGGAGGTTGTTTGGATGATGGAATTCTTAAACAATAAACTTGGCTTGCTGAGAATTTGCAAGTTTCTGTAAGTGACCTCTAACAATTGGCTTTTATACCAATTATATACAAATTAAATTTGAAATGTAAACCCTGGTAAATTTTTCCCAAGCTGTGATTAGTGAAACTTGCTGTTTGAGGTAAAAGCTCTTGGGACTGTAATGATGTTACTTTGAGTAGTCTGAGGGATCATAATAATCCATCGATAATCAATAGTCAATAATCCACCATCTGAGAGAAATGCCCAGAAGCTACCCAGAGACAATGTGATACAAGTGGAGGTCTGCATCTGGAAAAGCTGAGAGGACAATCTTAGCCTCAGTCTAAGGTGGGATCCTCCTAGCTCACTTTCCCCACTGTGGTCCTTTGAAAAGGAATGTTTCCCACCTGGCTATTCCTGATTCTGGCTATGAGGTGGAATTGATACTGCATGGTTGGAAAACTGTGAATTATCTGAATTCAAACAGAGTTAAGGATATTTTATCCTGTCATATTTGGTATAGACATGTCCCGGTTTCATCCTTTTATTGCAAATTTCTCTAATCAGAGCAAATGGACAGTAAAAGATAGGAGCACAATGCAAGTATGTGAGATCTTGCTGTTTGGACTTGAATGTGTAGTCATTCTATATCCCAAACAACTGGGTAAATTAGTACTCGGGCTTGTCATCTGACTGCCTGTGTCGTCATGTGAATCATAACCCTATAGACTAAAACTGGAATACACATTGCTATGAAAGACTAAAATTAATCAGAAATATCTTCAGTTCAGTTTGGGAAAAAGAATTTCAGTGCAATCCATCTTCTTAGAGGGAGGTACTTTGTTTTCTCCCATTCTGACATCACTTTTAATTCTCCTTGTATTTGGGCCTCATATATTGAACCTCCTGGCCAGATTTGTCTCCCCCAGGGTCCAGGTCACCAATTTCCAGATGACTGCTCAGGCTGCATACCAACCTTGGAACTAATCAAAGGCCCCTAAGACCCTGGACTTAGCATCAGCCATGTTCCGAAGTCTGACTCCTGGAAAAGGACCCAGTGAGGCAGGGACAGCTCTATGCCCATGGCCAGCAGGAAGCAGTTTCAGAAGCTAAGACCTTCACCCCTTACCCCAAAAGATTTGGGTCCCATTTGTTTGAAGGGAAAATGATGGCCTTATAGGACCTAGACCCCTACACTGAAACTTATGTTTGGGCATAACATTGGCTCAATTCCCAAGCTCATTACTAAGGGAAAAACCAAAAATAACCACCAATCTGTAGTGATGCACTCTCCAGCTCCTCCTCCCTTTGTCTGTTTTCTATAATTACCACTGGGATTTTTGAAGTTCTTGGCAGGGATCCACTGAAGTGCTGGCCACCACCCCAAACTGAAGATTGCCCCTGTTTGTAAGTATTCATAATGATTGAATAAACTACTACCTATTGTCAATCTGGAAATACTTGGCCTCTTCCTTTGGTATCAAAAGAAAACCCCATGGTCATGAGGGAAATATGGGGCTCCCCAGCCAGGGCATCCTGGACCTGAAGATTGAGGACAAATTCACAAGTACTAATTTTCTACAAAGAAATGCTAAATTTCATTTAGAGGTTAGTGAAAATAAAGATGTAATTTTATTTTCCTTTCAAGTTCAGAGACCCTGTGAAATCAATTCTTGGGGGACCACGGGCCCAAGGTTAAGATCTTTGGTGTAAATGAAAAAAGAAAAATAAAAGAAAAATAAAAATATTCCAGAGAGGGTTTGCCCTTTTTTTTTTTTTTTGCTGGTGGAGCAGAAGGGTGAGGAGATAGGATGGAGAACGAGTTAAAAACTAGTTTTCTCAGTTTGAATTAATCTCCTGTAAAGTGTAATACTACTTTGGATCTGACAGCCTTCTTTCCAGCTGACTTGCCAGCTCAGTATTAGTAGAAAGAGATATTTTCAAATGGCTTCAGAAATACTCAAAGAATTAACATTGAATGATAGTTACTCATTTAGGGCTGTACAGTAATGGTTGTGAATGCTCTTGAAGGTATCCCAGATTCTAGATTTAATCAAGGTTTCAGCTTAATGCGGTAATTAATCAAAGATACCTTATTAATGTACTAAAAGATCCTTCATCAAAAGGGAAAGGACCTGTATGTACAAAAATATTTATAGCAGTTATTTTTGTGGGAGCAAAGATTAGAAATTAAGGGGATGCCCATCAATTGGGGAGTGGCTGAACAAGTCCATGGTGTATGGGGGATAGTTTCAGAAAAACTTGGGAAAACCTATATGAACTGATGCAAAGTAAAGTGAGCAAAACCAGAAGGTCACGGTAGACATTAACGGCAATGTTGTAGTAATGATCAACTGTGAAAGATTTAGCTCCTCTAGTCAATAAAATGTTTCATGACAATTCCAAAGGACTTATCAAAAAGGCTATCTCCCTCCAGAGAGAGAACTGATGTACTCCAAGAACAGATTGAAGCATACTTTTTCACTTTCTTTTTCTTTCTTTTATATTTTTATTGTTTGCAACCTGGTAAATGTTTTGTGTGATTTCATATGTATACTTGGCATTCAATTGCTTACCTTCTCAGTAGTGGAGGACAGGTTAAAGGGAGGGAGAGAATTCAAAACGTGAAAATTATTCTAAAGTGATGTTTAAAATCAGGCCTGCACAACGTCCTACCCATGGCTGTTTACAGCCCTTGGAGTATTTGGGGCATGCCAAAGAATTTCCTCCACATACAAAGGATGTTTTCCTCTACTTTTTTCTTGGGCCACTTGAAAACCTTTAGTATGCCACAAGTGACCCAAAGTCTGTTAATTTCTGTTAATTTTGTTACTGACATGGTTAATGATATTGATAGTTTTCTAATATTCAAGCAGTCCTGTATTGCTGATGTAAATCCCACCTGGACATAGTGTATTATCCTTGCCATAAGTTGATATAATCTCTTGGCAAATATCTAATTTTACATTATTGCATTCTATTCATTAGGGAAATTGGTCTATAATTTTCTTTCTCTATTTTGACTCCCTGGTTTAGGTCTCAGTACCATATCTGCATCATAAAAAGAATTTGGCATGACTTTTTCTTTGCCTATTTTTCCAAATAGTTTCTATAGTATTGGAATTAATTGTTATTAAATGTTTGGTAGAATTCACTTGGAAATCCATTTGACTGGGAGACATTTTCTTAGGGAATTCATGGATGGCTTGTTCCATTTCTTTTCCTGAAAATGGGTTATTTGGATATTTTACTTCCACTTATTTGGGCAATTGATATTTTTGTAAATATCCATCCATTTCACTTAGATTGTCAGATTTCTTGGCATACCATGGATCAAAATATCTCCTAATCATTGTTTTAATTTCCCCTTCATTAGTGGTGAATTCATCCTTCTAATTTTTGATACTGGTAATTTGGTTTTCTTCTTTTTTAAAATCAAATTAACCAAAGGTTTATCTATTTTATTGCTTTTTTTTTCATAAAACCAGCACTTAGTTTTATTTATTAGTTCAATTGTTTTCTCAATTTCAATTTAATTAATCTCTCCTTTAGTTTTCAGAATTTCTAATTTGGTATTTCCAATTTGTTGTTTTTATAGCTCTTTTAGTTGCATGTCCAATTGTTTGATCCCTTCCTTCTTTATTTTCTTCATATAAGAATTGAGAGATATAAAACTTCCCCCCAAGGACTGCTTTTACTGCATCTCCTAATTTTGATGTGTTGTGCCATTATTGTCATTGTCTTAGATGAAGAGTCTTCTTGTCTTTCCCCAGCATGGTCAGTATGGAGTGTGTCGCCTGCCCTTTTAAAGTGCTACCTATGGTGTGGAGAGGAAATTGCTTCAATGGGCGCTTCATAAATGCTGCTTGACTTAACTTCACAGTTGAACTAACTACCTGTGCTGCTAGGATCCAAGAAGGTGGGCTTTATTTCTAAAAAGATCATCAAAACACAATGTTTAGATTGTAACTGTTGCAGTAAGTTGTGCTTATATACACATGTACATAAATATATATAATTATATCAATATATATGGAAATAAAATCTTATGTAACAAATATATTTATATATGTAACAAATATATTTACATATATACATAAATATATAAATTATATAAATATATATATGTAAATAAAATCTTATGTAAGAAATATATTTATATATGTAACAAATATATTTACATATATACATATATACTGTACATCTATATAAACAAATATAAATACTATGATATATGAATCTTATATATATTAGATTATTACTTTAACCTATACACGAGTTATAGGCATTGATTGTCGTTCATATTTCATTCTCAGAGAGAACCAGTGACAACAGGAGTGTGATATCTTGACTTGTGAGTGAATTAGATTCAAGTGAGACAGAACTGTGCAAAGTCTTCAGCTCCACTCTCTGCTCCAGAGTTGTCAGAGTCCAGGGCAAGAGACAGGTCAGCACCGCTGGAGGTGGCCCCAGCTGCAGTGGGAAACCCTCGGAATTTCCAGCCGGAATCGAAGGTGCCCAGTAAGTGAGGGTAGGCTTTGACAGTTAAAACAAGTGATATCTGAAAGCAATAACATCAGTCATTGACATCTTTGTTCTAATTAAGCAGTTCCTGAGCCCAAAATCTTGCCAGTTATGCAAAATTTGCTGAATGAGAAGGGACAAATGTATAATACAATGTAGGGATAATGTAATCTAAACTGGGATTTTGTCTAGGAGGGAAGACTTGGATGTGAAGTTTAATGACAGTCCCTTAGGTGGTAGAGAGCCACTGGGCATCTCCTTCAAGAGGAAGGAAGGTGACAAAGAAATGTAGGTGGAGGGAAAGGGCCAAAAGAAGATGGTTCCTGAAGACAAACTTTACCTCCTTCACAACTAAGTATGGGCCCCTCCCTATTTAAAATACATCCGTGTATCAGTACTCATGCTTCTTACAGTATAGGATTGTTCCAACTGGAGAGGACTTTGTTCTGGCCTCCTTGGGATAGTTCCAAGAAAGAGTCTTTGCTCTGAGGGTTCCTCAACGTGACTATCCCTGATTCAGGTAAAATGGTAAAGCATTTAAATTTGTGCTCCTTCAACGGTACAGACCTTGAAGAGAACAAAAGAGTGCATTAAACAGGCCAGGTATCCCTAGGAAATTTGGTGCTGTAATGAAGCAATGTTTGTTTTTGGTGTCCTCTACTTTCCTTTTCAGCGTTCTCCACAGGGGTAGCCAGCACCCCACTACCTCATTGTCAGACCCCACTTTGTCCTACCCTCTCCAAATCATCTCTCCTCCAACCTTCGATCAAAGCCTTGCTCAGGCCCAAAGGTTCTAACACATCCCTACTATATGCCAGAGCAATGCTAGACCAATTTATTCTATTATCCTAATGACTACTAATGTAATACTGTTCTCAGCATAAGGAATTTGCAAGATGAATCCAGTAGAGATGATTCTTGCACTACATAGTGAGTGAAGGGTCAGAGTGGGGTAATAGATTGAGACATTTTAGGTCTTTTGGTGCCTGTCCCTCAAACACTGATGACTTAATAATAATAATATCTTCAGACAGTTTAATCTTTTGCTGTTCTCAGTATCCCTTCAGAGGTGTTATCATCTTGTCTAATTTGATCCTCCTCATACTGCTGTGAGGTACAAAGAGAAGCAATTATTACTTCCTAGTTTTTGGCTAAGGAAACTGAGGCTCAAAATTTGTAACATTTTCCCAAGATTATACATCACATAGGGACCTTCCTATTCTGACTCTTCTGAGGTCTGACCCTGTATATGGTGATGGATTCTTTGAGGATACTCTTTAATTTTTCTTTTTTATGAACTTTTTGTGCTCCGAAGGCAAACTTTTCTTAATGAGAGTTTCACTGATTTTGCTTCTGAGAAAAAAGCCCGGATGTGAAGTATTATGGCCACTAAAATATATTGAAGGTATCTGAAAAGTCCCAATATAACTCAGCTGTCTTTTATGGCAGGTTTAGTCCTATCCCCAGAAAGTAGTGCTATAAACTGAGTACTAAATAATAAGTGAAGAGCTTTTGGAGCCTTTG